TAAAAATTTATGGAAAATATTAATAATAATATTTTAATACAGAAAGCTGATGCGTCTATTCTGACGGCACTGGTTTAAAAAATTACACAAGCATATGTTGTGATTATACTGGCCTCTAATAATAACAATATAAATGTCAAAGGCATCTATTTTGACACAGGCTAGTTACCTGCAGTAATATAAAACCTGAAGCGTCTATTCTTATATACTTAGTTTTATAAAATAAAAATAAACGAAGGATTGCTGTCAAGAAAATGACGCAGAAATTGCGGCAAGTACGGACAACGAATCCATCAATTTCCGAGAATCAATGGTAACATTGCCCGATATGATGGATTCAAACTGCAATACCGAAGTAACGCAGTGTCCGTCGCAAGAAAATAAAGGTATGTGCAATTTAAATGTCGAAAAGTGCGATGATGATTATGACCTTGTCATCGATAATACGGGCCTTCTAGATACAAATTGTATCCAAGAGTGCATGCTTGAAGGCCGTAGCATTGTCGACATTTCATTTATGTTGAATAAGATCCACAGAACATTCGATAATCATGCGCGAGGAATAGAGTGCCAATTTAAAGATGGGAAACTCATAAAAGCTTGTCGCAAAGGGTTATTGACGCAGTTGTTCTTTAAATGCCAAATGTGCAATTATAAAGACAACATCTGGTCTTTCATCTGGAACCTAAAGAACCTACAGAACCGACAGAACCAGACATATTGGATATTAATAAAACTGCTGTAGCTGCATCTATCAACTGGAAATGGTTATGCTCAGTTGAATGAGCAATGTGCAGCTATGAATATTCCTAGTATGTCTGGTTACGTATATAAAATATCGCGAAGATCTAGTCGAAGAATTCGGAAAAACAGCCATGAAAAATATGATACAGGCAGGCGAAGAAGAAAAACAACTCGCCTTAGACAGAAACGAAACTGTGAATGGTATTCCATATATAACTGTCGTTGCGGATGGCAGCTGGATGAAGAGATCGTACGGTAAAGCCTACGACTCACTTTCCGGTGTAGGTGCAATAATTGGTTATCGCACAAGGAAAGTTCTCTTCGTTGGCATCCGCAATAAATATTGCGCGATATATGACATGGCTGAACGAAAGGGTTGCGCTGCGAAAACGCACAAATGTTATAAAAATTTTGATCGCAACGCAGCCTCTACAAGCATGGAGAGTGATGCTATTGCAGAAGGTTTCAAACTTAGCCTTCCGATGCACGGACTTATTTACAAAACGGTTATCGCCGATGGAGATAGTAACGTATATCACTCCATCATTAATAATAAACCGTACCAGGAACAGATGATAACGGTGA